AAAAAAAAAAAAAAAAAAAAATAGGTCCAGGGTGCAAACAGGAAGTGTCAGGCGTGGAATGCAGTGGTATTCCGTGAAATGGATTTTCAAGGGGAAGGACCAAAAATAATAGCTGCAATGCAGGCCAGAAACCTGCCCTCTCTGGTCTAGCTCCGACCTCCCCACACCCCCACTCCTTCGGAGACCCCCAGGAGATCTATGCATTGTTCTGGGCATAGTGGACGGTGGCAGGCGTGCCCACCTCCTCAGCCGGCATCAATCTCTTTCTTCTTCTGTCTTCTTGAACATGGCCAAGGCTTCCTTCAGCACACCATCAGGGTCTATGATTTTGACCTGGAGGGAAGTAGCAAGGAGTTGGTTTGGGGAGCACAGAAGACCCCGGTCACCAGCCTTGGGCTTCCGCTTGCCTTATGGGTGCTGCCAGCCTCATGAGCCACCTCCCTCGCCAGGGATGCCCTGACTGCAAACAAAACCTGGTCTGTTTCCTGATTGGTCTGGGCCGGGCAAGGCTGGGCGGGGCTGAGGGATGCTGGTTTCTCTCTCTGGGTGTGGCCGCAGAGCCCGGGCAGGGCCCCTCACCTTAGGAATGGGGAACTGGGTGGGCGCAGGAGCCTCATCACGGCCAAAGTCGATCATTGTGCCACACTTGGCCACATCGTCCACCCAGAAGCCTTCAAACAGCTGACCGTGGTCCAGATGGAAGAAGCGCCCTGAGCCGTTCTTCATGCCTTTCTCCCAGAAGCCCTCATAGCGGTTCCCGTTCTCTGGGGGAAAGGACAGGGAGGTCAGTTGCCGGGAACACCAAACCAGGCTGGCCTCCAGGCTGACTCCTGCAGCGTGAGCCGGTGATGCACTGAGCACTGGCTCTTGTGTGTTAGTCAGCACGCGAAGCACTTTACAAACGGAACCCTCAGTTAACTCTCACAATCAGCCTGGCGCGGTGGCTCACGCCTGTAATCCCAGCACTTTGGGAGGTGGAGACAAGAGGATTGCCTGAGCCCATGAGTCCGAGACCCGCTGGGCAACTTGGCGAGGTGTCATCTCTACAATAAATCAAAAAATTGGCTGGGTGAGGTGGCGCGCGCCTGTGGTTCCAGTTACTTGGAAGGCTGAGGTGGAAGGATTGCCTGAGTCCAGCAGGTCAAGGCTGCAGTGACCGTGAATGTGCCACTGCACTCCAGCCTGGTTGACAGAGTGAGGCTTCGATTCAAAAACAAAAAATAAAAACCTTCAGGATCACGCCAGGAGTTTTATCCTCACTTTACGGATGAGGAAATCCTAGCAGAGTTTGAGCAAATTTGCCTGAGGTCACAGCTGGCGAGAGCCCAAGCCAGAACCTGACCCATGCAGGCTGGCCCCAGAGTCCAGGGCATCAGAAATGACACACTCAAAGCTCTCACGCTGTGCGGCCGCAGCAGGCACTCGCTAACTGCAGGCGACTGAGAGTCAGTGAAGGCAGGCACAGGGCTGGGGTGCGTGGGGGATGGGAGTGACAAACATGGCTGGCCTAAACTGTCTCCAGCTGCCCCTGAACCTCAGCTTGGCCGAATCTCATTGGAAGCTGGAATCGAGCTTTCAGTAGCTTGGGCTCTGGTGGGGGACAAAAGACACAGTCCTGGTCCTCATGCAGCTTGCAGTCTGTATGGCCCGTGACATTAACTTTATAGAGTCTACTATGGCCAAGCCCTGTTCTAACAAACGCACTTTTTAATTTTATTCTGAGTCAGGGTCTCTGTCACCCAGGCTGGAGTGCAGTGGCACAATCACAGCTCACCACAGCCTTGACCTCTTGGGCTCAGGTGATCCTCCCTCCTCAGCCTCCTGAGTAGCAAGAGACTATAGGTGCCTGCTACCACGTCCAGGGGTACAGCTATTATTTCCTTTTTTTTTTTTTTTTTTTGAGTTGGAGTCTCTGTCACCCAGACTGGAGTGCAATGGCCGCTCCCGGCCATCGCAGCCTCAACCTGCTGGGCTCCGGTGATCCTTCCGCCTCAGCCTTCCAAGTAGCCGGAACTACAGGCGCGCGCTACCACGCCCGGCTGATTTTTTGATTTATTGTAGAGATGAGGTCTCGCCAAGTTGCCCAGGTGGGTCTCCAACCCGCGGGCTCAGGTGATCCACTCACCTCAGCCTCCCAAAGGCGCGGGATTACAGGCTGAGCCACCGAGCCCGGCTATTTCCGTTTTATAGATGAAGAAACTGAGGCAAAGAGAGGCTAAACAACTTGCCCAAAATTATACATCTAGTGCTAGGAAGGAAAGAAAGCAGGTGCTGAGAATGATGTGCATTAAATGGAGTAGACAGGTTAAGGTCTCTCGGGTGAAAGGAACAATGCAAATTTCTAGAAAAAATCATTCCCAGAATAGGGAACAGCAGTGCAGGGGCCCTGAAGGAGGAACTGAGAGTTGGGTGTCCAGGGGAGAGAGATGGAGGAGGAGCTGGAGGGGGGAGGAGAACCAAATCATGCTGGGCCCTAAAGTCCACAGTAAGGGCCTCGAACTTAGCCCAAGGGCAGTCGGGAACTATGGAAGTGCTGAGATCAAGGTGGTGATAACACCCAATTTGCTTTTTCTTTTTTGAGTTGGAGTCTCACTCTTGCTCAGGCTGAAGTGCAGTGGCACGCTCACGGCCACCGCAGCCTCGACCTGCTGGGTTCAGGTGATCCTTCCGCCTCAGCCTTCCAAGTAGCTGAGACTACAGGCACGCGCCACCACGCCTGGCTAATTTTTTGATATAGTGTAGAGATGAGGTCTCACCAAGTTTCCCAGGCTGGTCTCGAACCTGTGGGCTCAGGCAATCCTCTCACCTCGGCCTCCCAAAGAGCTGGGATTATAGGCGTGAACCACTGCCTATAGGTGCCTGTCACCACATCCAAGGGGGTACAGCTATTATTTCCGTTTTTTTTTTTTTTTTGAGTTGGAGTCTCACTCTATCGCCCAGACTGGAGTGCAGTGGCTGCTCCCAGCCACCGCAGCCTCCACCTGCTGGGCTCCGGTGATCCTTCCGCCTCAGCCTTCCAGGTAGCTGGAACTACAGGTGCATGCTACCATGCCCAGCTAATATTTGATTTATGTAGAGATGAGGTCTCACCAAGTTGCCCAGGCGGGTCTCGAACCCGCGGGCTCAGGCAATCCACTCACTTCAGCCTCCCAAAGGCGCGAGATTACAGGCTGAGCCACCGAGCCCGGCTGACTACTTTTTAAATTTTTTGTAAAGACAGCATCTCATTATGTTGCCCAGGCTGGTCTCAAATGACCCACCCACCTTGGCCTACCAAAGTGCTGGAATTACAGGCGTGAGCCACCGTGCCCAGCCTCAGTTTTTGTTTTGTTTGAGTCAGGGTCTCGTTATGTCACCCTGGCTGAAGTGCAGAGGTACGATCATGGCTCACCACAGCCTCGACCTCCTGGGCTCAAATGATCCTTCTGCCTCAGCTTCCCAAGTAGCTGACACTACAGGTATGCACCACCACGCTTGGTCAATTGTTTTATTTTCTTGTGGAGACAAGGTCCCTTTATGTTGCTCAGGATGGTCTCCAACCCTCGGGTTCAGGCAATCCCCTTGTCTTCGCCTCCCAAAGTGCTGGGATTACAGGCGTGAGCCACTGCGCCCGGCCTCCTTAGCACTTTTGACCCCACAACCACTAGACTGCAGGACCTTGAGCAAGTGATATCACCTTCTGTGCCTCAGTCCATTTGTAAAATGGGGATGATAAGAGAACGTATAGTATTGTTGCAAGGATTAAATGAGCTCAGCGCTGTATAAGTGTAGGCCATGAATATTACAACCATAAGAATTGTCTTAAGCCAGGCTCGGTGGCTCAGCCTGTAATCCCACGCCTTTGGGAGGCTGAGGTGAGTGGATCGCCTGAGCCCGCGGGTTCGAGACCCGCCTGGACAGCGAGACCTCACCTCTACCATAAATCAAAAAATCAGCCGGGCGTGGGAGCGCGCGCCTGTCATCCCGGCTCCTCGGAAGGCTGAGGCGGAAGGATCGCCGGAGCCCGGCAGGTAGAGGCTGCACTGGCCGGGAGCGGCCGCTGCGCTCCAGTCTGGGCGACGGAGTGAGACTCCGACTCAAAAGAAAAAAAGAATTGTCTTACATGTTTATTATGAGGCTCCCCTAGGACAGTGTAAGCTCCCTGCACGGAGAGACCCGGGCTCATCCTCCGCATCCC